GGTCCCCATGCTGCTTGTGGCTGGTTTGTGCCCTTCTTTCTCAGAATAACTTCGCAGCTTGCCGAGACATTCGAACAGTGACAGGATTTCCACATTTCCCTCCATGGTACCTATTTCTTTGAGCCCTCCAATAAATCGCCCGTAGGTCAAGCCCAGCCTCCTGGGCGCCTAACACACTTGAGGACCCAAGATTCTTGAGTTCGGCAAGTTCCGCGGACGGACCTTCATCATTGGTGTCCACTCGGTGTCTCCCGAAGAATCGGTGAGCTCGCTTGGAATTTGTGAAGCATGGTGAAGTGGCCAAGTGAACAAATGGATCGTTTTGGTAGATATTAGAGCCTTTAAACAACCTGAGCAGGGTCTCAACCAAAACAAAAACCCGAAGGATGTGTGTCCACCACTAACCCATGCTGGAACGTTGCGTCTTTTCAGGGTAGCATGAGAAGGGTTGAGAAGGAAACTAATGGAGACCTAAGCGTTTCTTCACCCCTATCTCATTTGCAGTTTGGCGGGCAATGAAAAGTGTGAACGGATGCATGAGGAGTTCTAACGCTTTGGTGGGTCTCCACAACTTTCCCCCGTACCCCCAATACCCCCAGTGGAATCGAGCGTCGCACATGGCGAGAGTCCCTTGAAAAACCATGCTAAACCCTCCCCCAAAATCGCCACGAATGGCGCATTGTTTTTTTCCCATTGCACAGTCGCAACTGGCAGGCCGGGCCCAAGAAACAAACAAAGCTTGAAACCATAATTAAGGAACCCGGTGGACGATCATCCCCCCCTTTACCGAAAGGGTTGCAAGTACGGGAACCCTGGCCATGGCTGGCTGATTTTCCACGAGTGTCCCAATCACGGGAACACCCGTTTCATCCGCCTGTTTGCATCTGGATCAAAAGGCGTTCCCAGGTATTCCGAGGCGGCTGCTTGTGGTCCGCAGTGAGCTGTTCGCCTCGCGTTTCGACAAAGCGAAGGGTCCAAACCCAAAGAGGGACCTGAAATCAAGCCGCGACCAAGCATTTGTCAAGGTTCTGCTTTGACAGAAAGCACTCCACCCAAAAGGACTACCCAAAGGGACCGTTGATATTGGCCAAGCGATAGAAACCACACACATCGCCCACGTTCCCCGACGAAAAAGAAGGGCTTTACCATGCAAAAACATGCTTTGCCTCGAAAACAAAACAAGCCGGGTATTTGGAGATTGCGGGGAACCTCCCAAAAGAGGACCCTCAACATAAAATACACGCCCGTGCGACTCACAATCAAAACCTGATAACGTGGTCTAACCCGAACCACGCAAAGAGGTAAGAGGGCAGATATAGTTGTGCCTTTTTGTCGGGGGAACCCTCTTTTGGTTGGTTTGGAACGGACACCAAAAGGAATCCAGCCATTTTGGGGGGTCCCCTAAAATGAGCGACCCATATCCGCACCTGTGGCTGTCCCTTCACCTACCCGGGTTTTGATGCCAACCCACAAGCCTCAAGGGGAAACAAAAGGGAAGGTCAGAACCTGCAGCCGGAGCACGGTGGTCTCCCACAAAACAAAGAACTACCACTAAACCAATGGGATTTTGGCATAACTCTTGTTTCCCTGAGCTTCATCTGGGGGTGTCTCTTTTTGCGGGACCCCCCAAATGGTGTGGTTTCCTCTTGGTTTTCCTTTAAAACCACCAAAACAAGGGGCAGCCTCAAAAAAGACACACCGTCCGCATTGGGTCCTTGCCAGTCCGGAAATTGAACGTTCTCAGATCCCGCCGGCGCGGCCGGCCCGGCCTACCAGGACACCGGGTCTCGACTCCTCTTCCTAACCGAATGGATCAAACAGCTCAAAGGGCCAGTGCTGGTTGGACGCGCGGTTGACGTATCATGGTTGTAGCGTAGATTCACGCTCCAAGTAAATTTTAGGGTTCTGCTCATCCAAGTTGCCTCATGATCGTTGGAGAAGAATGAGTGTACTTGTTCAACCCCTTGCAAGAGTCGTTGCTACAAAGACCTTGCCGTTCAATGCCCCTGCCAGAGAGTGAAGCCAAAAAGAAACTAAACCCTCCGATAGTGACCCGCCCAGGGTTGACAGCATGCCCTAAGTGGCAGGTGTCGAGACAAATGACACTTCCTCTCTCCGCCCCCCCCCCCCCGATTCAAAGTTTGGGCCCATTTCTCAAGGGAAGCCAACATGCGAGCAAAACCTATACTGGCGAATAGGCAGCGTCTCCATCCACTAAACCGGCTCCAACTGCCCACATGCTGTTACTGTGTGATGTTGTCGCCGAACTACAAAACCACGGAACATGAGCCTAGATATGCCAACAACAAATGTGTATTTTGGAGTCGGAGGGAGGTTCCATTGCAATGTGGAGAGGCGGATACCTAATGTCAGCTCCGCCGGCAAGTGCTCATGCTAACAGACTGTAAAGAAGGGGGAGTAACCAAGTAGTTCAAACTATCACTCATGACTTCAGAGAAGCCAGAACTTCCAATAAGAGAGAAGTTCTGATATATTCAGGTTCAAGCTTCTATACTTTGAGCTATGCAGTATTTTGAGCGGCCAACACCTTTGTTTTGCGGCCAACCCGCTTTCTCGAGGGCACCTTCTGCCCTAAGCATCCAACAGCAAGATGGTTCCCGTTTGCTGCCATGAGAGCAACGGGGGATTGGCCCCAGTCGCCCTTCTGTCTATGGTTACAAAGTCGGTTAAACATCGAGGGTGTTAATTTCGAAATCGGGGATCTTGGGGTGGACATTAGAATTCGTGTCCACTCACCACAAAAGAGGTGGTTCCGACTCTTGCGCGAGCAACGCTGCGCTGCGGAACGCGCCCAAAGCGCTCGCACTGCAAACTGCATTGCATTGTGCGGCGTCGCGACGTGTGGACCGACTTAACGTGGCAACCCAAAGTTAAAATGGGGGGAACCCAACAAGGCAAACGGGCCTTGCAGGGGTCTTACATTCTCCACCGAGCAGTTCCCTTCCCAAAAAGGGCGGCAATAAATATAAAGTTGTATTTGCTGTTACTGCTGGTGGACACGGTCGTATTGCTAAATGGCTAGGTTGTGTTTGTTGTCTGACAATGACCATTTTGCACCAAAACGGGTTCATCCGTAGGGGGAAACAACTCTCCGTTCCAGCGCAACGTGCTTGACATTCCCCCATACTCCAACTACCCTGGTCTGTTAATTAGGTGGCCTAGAAGGGTGCTTTTGCTTTTGGTGCCCCGTTAAAAGGCAACCCCAAAAGAGCCACACCATATTTCTAACACCCACATGCTCTTGCTTGGCCCGGGCTTGAGACTTCTCCCCTACAGCTTGGGGGATTTAGAGAAAACAGCAGGGGTCTTTGGTCACGTACCAAAGGACGCATCGAAGACCAGGTGTACAAGAAATTTAGCCCAAGAAATCAGCCGACTTATGTGTGTTTTCTTCTACCTTACGCCTAAAAATCCGCAGATTTATTGGTGTTGAGTGTTTTCAGCCTGGCCTCAATGTCTTAAAGGATACCATGTTCTCTTTCCGGCTCCTTGACCAGCACCACGCGGGAGTCCCCAAGGTGCCCCACCACCTTGCCGAGTGGCGCATTGTGAGGGGACCGTATGGAAGCTACCCCCAGGTACTCCACGGTCAACATGTTGAAGTCTAACCAAGGACACTTCCAGGTATCTAGTATTCCGGGGTGCCTGCTGGGAGTGGTATAAGCCTGGTCATAAGGAAGGCATACAGTTTTGAAAAATGGGAGTGGTATGGGAGTCCATAGTCTATGGACTATCAGAAATCGGGTGTTGGTTGCGGGCATACCTGGGCTGTCAAACTCGGTAAGCAGGCTTTTGCCCGAGTTATAAGGGACCACCCCAAGGACATCCGGGGTAGCCTACAGTACTCTTGTCCCAAGGCAGCTTCGGATCCGTCACATCTTGAAAGGGGCCTCCCTGAGCCTCAGGCCCTCGAGAGGATGGCCCGTTTTTGCTCGGCTTTGCGAAGTCTTAAAGGGACCCCCAGTATCGCTCCGTGAAAAAGCGCCAACCCCAAGTAAAGGGGTGCTTCATGTTCATTCCCAAAATGCGGGCTCGAGCCTGTGATGCCAAAGTTGTGAATTCCCATCACTATCCTGCGTGCCACTGTTGCTGGGAACCACTACAAATGTGGCCTGCAATATGTTCATGTCCACAATCAGGCACGTCCACTTACCTGATCTACCCTGCCCCTTCAAGCATTGAACCCTTCGGTGATCACCATGCTTGGTTGTGATAGCCGTGGCACAAGGGTTGATGGGGGACCTTCGGTGGGCATCATTTAGCTGGAGATTCATGCATATTACGCATATTTACTTTTGCGGTGGTTCCAACTCATAAAGTTAATGGCCAAAAGGATACGCAACCATTTCTTCTGCAATGGGTTGATCATTTGCTGCGGTTCGGAGCGGACACGAACCGATCCGTCAAATTGATCGCAGGTGTCAAAAAGAGACAGGGCTCCCGATGCTTCCCCCAACATCACCAGGGGTAAGCTCATGTTTTGGCAAGAAAGGTGAATGTCCTTGCCTTTCGCTTAGGCCAATTCAACCTGAGTTTCCCTGGTCCCAGACCTGGGGAAAACAGGCCAGCCTTTCTTTGGTTGAAGGGCAACTTCCTCCAACAACAAAAAAAAGCAAGGCTTGCTAACCCACTGTGTGCGCATTTGGGAACTGTCTTGCTTGGTGGCTTTAAACATCACCTTTTGGCCAAGAGTGAGCTTTCTTTGAGCTTGAAGTGGGGTGATTCGGTGATGCTCGAGGAGAAATGTGGAGAGTTTTGTGCTAAGGCCCCGCGCCAAAAGATCGCCCATGATCAGCACCGTCACGGAGGTGCACGTGGCGTAGTGCTGCGCGTCGGCGCTACACAAGGAGAGAATCTCAAGCGGCCCTTTTTGGGGAAACCGAAAGCCAGGCTTGGGGGGGTCATCCATTTCGACACCCAAATGAGTGGTGCCAAACATGGAAACCACCCAAAACAGATTGGCTTGCTAAAGAGCAAAGATAAAAACGGATCGAAAAGCAAAGCGAAAAGCGACAAGAAAAGCAACAACAAATGCAAAGGCAGCCCATTGCCAGGAATCCCGCTCCGACAATCAGACCCTTCGTTCAAGGGTTGCCTGGAAGCACATTGCTCTGTGGCTTCCCTGGTTACCAACCCGCTTTGCAAGGGGTATAGTACGGGTATGAACATGAGCAAGCTTATTGCTATGGGAGAGACTTCAGCTGTCAGCCAGTCAAAGTCCAACTTTATCCTAAATGGGCACACCCCAAAATCCGTCCTTATGTTCAAGTATGGCCTTAGAGCCAGCTAAAGCTTTCGTGAGAAGATCAATAATAAAAATCCCGCTTCCAGCTGCGGCCAAAGATTTGTCTGTGAATTCCCTTGACCCTTGCATGCCCCAAAACAATGCAAACGGGGAACAATGGAAATCCAGTAAATTTGTCTGGGGTTTGTGCTGGGATCGTTTCTCAATGCACCCTTGGAGTTCTGGCTCAAGGGAACCAACTAGAAAGCTGGTTCGGCCCTATCCAAACTCCAACCGCGAAATGGCCAAAGAGTTTGGCCCAACTCCTGGGCACGAAAAGAATAGATGCCTTTCTAACGTCTATATACTCACAGTCGACCTTTGAACCCCACGGCGACCCTTCAAACGTCCACCAAAAAGAGGGCCACCGAAATCCCAAGCACACCCTGCTTCGACGGAGGCCATAGGAAAGGTCTGCCTAAAAGGCCCAAAACCAGAGAATAGGAACAAAGCAACAAGATTGTTGAGCAAAAAATCACATATGAATCATATGTTCATATGATGTAATGGTTCCCTTCAAGCCCCCTGATGAATCACAGCCCAGCAAAGGACCCTGCCCATATGTCAATTCTCACCTGAGAGCTGGTTGCTCAGAGCCAATCGTTTGGGGCCTTGAGAAGGCCGTGTTTCGAGGATGGTAGCAATTACAACTCTCTGCACTTCAATTGGGTGTGTCCTTTTTGAGGGTACCCCTTGTTTGGGGGTTTTAAAGGGAAAATAAAGGGACAATTACAATTTTGGTTTCGGGGGGTACCCGAAAAGAGGGACAAACCCACCTTTTTGGAAAAAGGCTATCTTGTTCCTGTTCTATTAAGGGGGGGGTTTCTTGCTTTGGATGCTCCCTTTGGATGGTTGCGGAAATGGAAACTCAAGGCACGCAACACAAAACTGGGAAGCCGCTTGAAAACCAGGGTTATCATATTTGCCGCTCGGGCACGGCAATGGCAGCTACACCAAACTACTAAACTATGTTGAGATGCTTGGTTCAACCTTGCATCATATCGGAGAGCTGATCCAGCTAAATCTCCCAGCTCGATCCTGATTTCGTGCTTGGATCCCAACAAGGATCCCAAAGGATCCGCCAAACCTTCGCCCAATCGCCTGCGACTGCTTGGCGCACATGGCCAGTAGTGCCTCGTCCGCCGATCCTGGGATCGAGGCACCGATCAAACTTCACGAGGGGGATGTGGGTGTTTCTTGTTGAGGGGGACCCCCCAAAAAAAACATGGTGGTTTTCCTCTTGGCGTCCTTTTCAAGCCACCCAAAAGTGGAGTTTACCAAAAGAAGAAGCCGCACCCGTGTGCTTCCTTTCTTCCCATGGTCAAGGGCCCAGGGGTTAGACACAAGGGCACCCAACAGGTTCGACCCTATCGTCGTAGCCCCCAAAAGCGCGGCCCTTGGGGTAGGCAAAAGCAAACCAACCAGGAAACATGGTTGGTCAGGGTTCCACTTTTTGAATACCCCAATGAAGAAGCAGATTCCCAGGGTTTGGGGCTTTAACAAAAAGGGGCACCGATTCAAGGGTTGAAGCGTACGTGGTGGAACCCTGTGGTTGGTTGACGTTGGTCTGGGTTTGCTTGATTTTGAAACGATGACAATGACAGCAACACTTGGAGGAGACCGACAAATCAGGCCTCCCAAAACGGAAAAAAAAAAGGCACACCAAACTGCTTCACATCTCGACTCCCAATTGTTTGTTCAGAACAGAGACAGCAACACCTGCAGGCTTCCAAAAGGAAATCAAGGCCTCCCGCAAAACCGGAAAACCGAAGCAAACAAGTCCCAAGCCGACCCCCACGACAAACGACCCATGTCCAACCGACCCAAACCCTAACCGCTGGCTCGCGCAAACTCGGCCAAGCGGCTGTACATGTCTTGGAAGGCCTCCACCAGGAGACGCTCTTGGCCCTCCTCCGAACTGCGGCAGGCCTCGAGATCGCGCCATCTCGACCGGGGCCCCAATTGGGGCTGGCATTTTTTCCGCTTGGATTCCCTTTGAACCAACCTATAGGGCCTCGAGGTGTGAAGGACTACCTGGTTTTACTTCTGAAAAGTCTTATTTATGTAGGCTATGCAACCTTTGCGGGCCCACTTGGCAAATGGGTGCAAATGTTCCTTGGGGACCCACACTGGTGGACAGCATTTACACGGAGATCTAAGTACCAAAGTACCATGTTGCTGGGGGGCTCCCTAAG